GGCCATAGTTTGAGGACGCCTGGTCTAGACAGTGAGTACCACTATTCTGGTGGCCTCTGAATACAATGTATTTCCTCTATTTGACTGTAAGTCAAGAGACTTTAAAAGTAAATTTTTCTCTCTTAAAGATATGCAATTATAACACTATTGTCCATGAGTCAAAAGCAAAACCTGATTATTTATTAAGAATATATAAATTTACAAATGCAAAATGCAAGTTTGAGAACAAATAGTAACCTGTGTGCATAACTACTATTATGATAATTATGCTACAGTACACAATACTCAGCAAACCCATAACCCCCAAATTAACGGAAATTCATGAACACATTTACAAAACAACACAGAAAAGGAGAGAGACAGACAAAGTGATACCACTACGCAACTATCATGAAAGTTATAAAGAAAGAAAAAAAATACCATGTGTTTACAGAGGATGTGGAGCAACTGGAACTCTCATAAAGCAATGGTACAAATACAAACTTACACAACTACTTTGAAAAACTGCTTGGTCACATCTGCTAAAGCTGAATATCTGCATACCTTGTGACCTAGTAATTCCATTCCTAGTATATCGTACACTCAATGGAAATGTACACACATATATATATGTGCATGCATCTGAAGTGTGTATAAGAATTTTATAGCTCTATAATTTATAATGCCCCAAAATTGGAAACAAACCAAAAGCCCATCAATGATAAATAACTAGCAATATATTTATATAATGGAATATTGTATGATAAAAATGAGAAAACTTCTAATTATATACAACAACACAGAAAATAATATTACAATCATAATGCTAAGTGAAAGAATCCAAGCACAAAGTATATAATTTTATATATAGAAAGTTTTTAAAACGGGTGAAACTAATGTAAGATGTTAAAAGCTAGGATATCTTAGAAGGAAGAAGTAAGTAGCAGAGAAGAGGTGCTGGTAATATTTAACATCTTGATACGGGTGGTGGTAACATCAATGTATTCACTTTAGGAAAATTTATCAAGCTATTCACTCAGAATTGTATATTTTACATATTTTATTTCAATAACAGTATGCAGTACACACAAATGGTACTGTAATGATATATAACTTATATTTAAAAACAAAACTTAAATGACAAGAAGGTATACCTGAACAATATACCTAAAAGATGAATAAGAGTGTTCCAGACAAATGAAGAATAATATTTCAGAGACCGGGCATAAGAACGTTCCAGACAAATGAAGAATAACATTTCAGAGGCCAGGTGTGGTGGCTCACACCTGTAATCCCAGCACTCTGGGAGGCAGACACTGGCGGATCGCCTGAGCTCACGAGTTCAAGCCAGACTGAGCTAGAGTGAGACCTCATATCTAAAAATAGCTGGGTCTTGAGGTAGGCGCCTATAGTTCCAGCTACTAGGGAGGCTGAGGCAAGAGAATTGCTTGAACCCAAGAGGCTGAGGTTGCTGTGAGCTCAACACGGCACTTAACTGAGGGTGACAAAGTGAGACTCTGTCTCAACAACAAAAAAAGAACAATATTTCTATAAGGGAGAAAAATATAAGCAAAGTATATTCTCTGTGGTCCAATATGCTTTCATTACATATTATCTCCCTGTATGATCATGTATATGAACATGTCTTTATATGTACCTTGCACGTATCTTAAGGACAGGTTCCAAATTAGGAATCTTAAATGTAAGTCCATGTTCCTCAACCTGTAATACCATTTGAGAAATTTTTTAAAGTATACATGCCGACTTCTAAATCTAGGCCAATTTCCTAATTGTTTATCAATCTTCCTCTCAAACAGGAACCCCCATAGGCACCAAAAGCAAAAGACGAGAAAATACAATGTATTTGTGGGAAACCTTTGAATCAGAAAGAGAAATAAGACACATGCAATTTAAACTTCATAACCTTTGTATTTCTTTAATGTTATTCCTGTTGTTCTCTATCAACAAACAAATTGTTCTTATCTTTTCAGATTTCTCATCCATACTCTGAATCACTTTAAGGCATAAAATTCTATGAGTTA